TTTTGGGGGGATTTTGAGGGAATTTTGTGGATTTTGGGGGCATTTTTGAGGAATTTGGGGGGACTTTGTGGATTTGGGGGATTTTTGGGAAATTTGGGGGGATTTTGGGAGGGAATTTTGGGTTTTGGGAGGGATTTTTGTTGGTTTTGGGGGGATTTTGTGGGATTTTTGGGGGACTTGGGCGATTTTTGGGGATTTGGGGAGGATCTTGGGGGATTTTGGGGAAATTTGGGGGGATTTTCATGGATTTTGGGGGCCTTTTGGGGAATTTTGTGGATTTTGGGAAATTTTGTGGATTTTGGGGGAATTTTGGTGGGGAGTTTCATTTTCTTGGGGGGATTTGGGAGGATTTCCTGAATTTTGGGGGGATTTTGTGGATTTTGGGGGAATTTTAGATGGGTTTGGGGGTTTTTTTTGTTTTTGGGGGATTTTTATGGAATTTTGGGGGCATTCGGGAAGGAATTTGTTTTTTTGGGGGGATTTTTGTGACTTTCAGGATTTTTGGATGCTTTTAGGCGGGAATTTGTTTTTTTGGAGGAGATTTTTGGGAATTTTGGGGGGTCCTGCGGTGTTTGGGGGTGGGGAATCCCCTCCTCCTTTTTTCCCAGAATTTTGGGCTGAATTCCCATTTTTCCACAGTTTCGGGGTGATTTTTTTTTGGGATTTCCCCAATTTTTCCCCAAATTTTTGCCTGAATTCTCAAATTTTTGCCTGAATTCCCAAATTTTTCCCTGAATTCCCAAATTTTTCCCTGAATTCCGTTCCAGTTTCCACGACGATCGCTGGGAGCCGCAGCCGGAGCCGCCCCCGGACCCTGAGACCCCCCAGGTGACCCCAAAAATTTGGGGATCCCCCCCCGGAATTTTGGGATTTGGAATTTTGGGATTTGAGATTTGGAATTTTGGGATTTGGGATTTTGGGATATTTGGGACCCTCCGGAATTGTGGGATTTGGAATTTTGGGATTTGGGATTTTGGGGACTCTCAAAATTTTGGGATCTGGGATTTTGGGATTTGAGATTTGGGATTTCGAATGTTGGGATTTTGGGAGTTTGGAATCTTGGGATTTTGAGATTTGGGATTTTGGGACTCCCCAGAACCCCGGATTTTCGGATTTCCCTGATTTTGGGATTTGGGATTTCCCTGATTTGGGATTTCCCTGATTTTGGGATTTCTGGGAATTTGGGATTTTCGGATTTCCCTGATTTTGGGATTTGGGATTTCCCTGATTTTGGGATTTCCCTGATTTGGCATTTTGGGATTTTGGTATTCCCCTGAGTTTTCCCTGATTTTGGGATTTGGTATTTTCCCTGATTTTGGGATTCCCCTGATTTGGGGATTTCTGGGATTTCTGGGAATTTGGGATTTTGGGATTCCCCTGATTTTGGGATTTGGGATTCCCCTGATTTGGGATTTTGGGATTTCCCTGATCCAGGATTTGGGATTCCCCTGATTTTGGGATTTTGGGATTTGGGATTATTTCCCTGATTTGGGGATTTGGGGTTCCCCTGATCCAGGATTTGGAATTTTGGGATTTGGGATTTTGGGATTTGGGATTATTTCCCTGATTTTGGGATTTTGGGGTTCCCCTGATCCGGGATTTGGGATTTTGGGATTATTTCCCTGATTTGGGATTTGGGATTTTGGGATTTGGGATTATTTCCCTGATTTTGGGATTTCCCTGATTTGGGATTTCCCTGATTTGGGATTTTGGGATTTGGGATTTGGGATTTTGGGATTATTTCCCTGATTTTGGGATTTGGGATTTTGGGATTATTTCCCTGATTTGGGGATTTGGGATTTTGGGATTTGGGATTTTGGGATTATTTCCCTGATTTGGGGATTTGGGATTTTGGGATTTGGGATTTTGGGATTATTTCCCTGATTTTGGGATTTGGGATTTTGGGATTTGGGATTTTGGGATTATTTCCCTGATTTTGGGATTTGGGATTTTGGGATTATTTCCCTGATTTTGGGATTTTCCCGGATTTGGGATTTTGGGATTATTTCCCTGATTTGGGATTGGGGGTCGCAGCTCCCGGGGAAGGTTCCGGAAGCTCCCGGCTCCGCGGGGGACTCGGACCAGTGGGAGGATCTGAGCGACGACGAGGACGGCGAGGAGGGGCCCGGCCCGGCCCAGTTCAAACCAGTAACAACCAGTTCGGACCGGTCCGGACCAGTAATGCCCAGTTCAAGCCAGTCCGAACCAGTAACAACCAGTTCGGACCAGTCCGGACCAGTAACAACCAGTTCGGACCAGTCCGGACCAGTAACAACCAGTGAAACCCAAGGTGTGTCCCCGTTAAAACCAGTTCAAACCAGTAACGCCCAGTTCAAACCAGTCTGGACCAGTAACAACCGGTTCGGACCAGTCCGGACCAGTAACAACCAGTTCAAACCAGTCCAAACCAGTAACAACCAGTTCAAACCGGTCCGGACCAGTAACGCCCAGTGAAACTCAAGGTGTGTCCCCGTTAAAACCAGTTAAAACCAGTAACGCCCAGTTCAAACCGGTCCGGACCAGTAACAACCAGTTCAAACCAGTCCAAACCAGTAACAACCAGTTCAAACCAGTCCGGACCAGTAACGCCCAGTGAAACCCAAGGTGTGTCCCAGTTCAAACCAGTAACGCCCAGTTCAAACCAGTCTGGACCAGTAACAACCAGTTCAAACCGGTCCAAACCAGTAACAACCAGTTCAAACCAGTCTGGACCAGTAACGCCCAGTGAGCCCCAAGGTGTGTCCCAGTTCAAACCAGTTAAAACCAGTAACGCCCAGTTCAAACCGTTCCAGACCTGTCTCTCCCAGTCCAAACCAGTAACTCCCAGTCTCCCCCAGTCCAAACCAGTCTCTCCCAGTCCAAACCAGTAACTCCCAGTCTC